CTCTCTGTCTCATTCTCTCTCTCAAATAAATAAATAAAATCTTTAAAAAAAAAAAAAGAGTTGGAGGGGCGCCTGGGTGGCTCAGTCGGTTAAGCGACTGCCTTCGGCTCAGGTCGTGATCCTGGAGTCCCAGGATCGAGTCCTGCATCGGGCTCCCTGCTCAGCAGGGAGTCTGCTTCTCCCTCTGACCCTCCTCCCTCTCATGCTCTCTGTCTCTCATTCTCTCTCTCGCAAATAAATAAATAAAAATCTTTAAAAAATAAAGAAAGAAAGAAAGAAAGAAAGAAAAGAATAAAATACTTGGGGCGCCTGGGTGGCTCAGTTGGTTAAGCGACTGCCTTCGGCTCAGGTCATGATCCCAGGGTCCTGGGATCGAGTCCCGCATCGGGCTTCCCGCTCCTTGGGAGCCTGCTTCTCCCTCTGTTTCTCTCTGTCTCTCATGAATAAATAAATAAAATCTTTAAAAAAAAAAAAAAAGATAGCTGTAGTGACCTACATTTTTTTATTAATCAAGAAAATAGTTGTTCATATGTGGGGTTCACACGGGAAACATTTCAGAAAAGAAAGAGGCCATATAAAAGTTCACTTGCTGATCCTACACTAGGAAATTATTAATAATGCTTGTTGTGTTAGCAATACCCATGTTGCCTGTGTTGGAAAGAGCACATTGCCAAAGGAGCTCAGCCGTCTTTATTTCTTTATGTTAAGATTTGAGATGCTGCAAAGAAAATGTAAAACATCGAACCGATGTTTCTAATTAATCATGGTGAAAAGTCAAGGACTTCACTAGCCACGAACATCTTGGCATGTCTCATTATTTTAGTTTTTATGCTTGCCTAAACCCATGAGCTATGCTATTTTTTCAACATAAAATGCTTGTCTCGTAACATAAAAGTGGTTGTCTCTGGTCACCTAGTGGAGCTGCTTAATAAAAAACTAAGTGTCCAGGACTTGAATTTTTAGTCCGAAACTTTAATGTGTTTTTTTCATTGTGTCGTTTTATTTTTTTGTTCCTTTGTTGGGGCTTGTGTGCCCCTGTGGACTCCCTGGGACTTTCTCTGTGCATCCAAAGAAATTTTGTTACTAGTCTTGTTGATGTTCCTCCCTCTTCTAAAATAAACCTCCTGATTTTAGAACAGCAAAATTTTATTATCTTTGGCAGATCCAAACCCATAACTTCTTGTCTCTGAAAAATAGGTGAATCAGGTTCAAGGTACTGACACAAACTGTACATGGGATTTCTGCAAGTTCAGAGTTTATGATCTATGATCACCTCATCCACCTGCATATTAACAGCCGTCACTGTCGGCATTCTGGAGAGAGAAAGTCGAAGCAACAGGAAAGAACACAAATGCTCTAGATCTCATGAGGGGAACTGGAAGTAAATTCTGTGTTCGGCTAATCACTTTTTGTAGCTCTGGTGATCTTGGGGAAAAACCTTGTTTTCACTGATTTTAATTTTTCTGTATGCAATTCTGTCTGCTAGAAAATTCCCAGCTGGGTAAGTTACTGCTGTGTTGCCCAAACATTGCTATCGGAAATTGAAGATGGTATGCAGCATGAACAAGAGAGCCTTCCTCTCCTGCTTATCAATTTGAACCCTGCAAATGGTTGTTTTTTGTTTGTTTATTTGTTTGCTTTGGGTTTGCAATTAAAAAGAAAAAAATGTGACTTGTCTGGGCTTGCCACAGGGCTTACAGAAAACTGAAAGCTCCTGAGAACATTCTCAGCAGGGTAGTATTTCTGTGAAGAGGCAGCTAGAACCCCTTAAGAAAAATGCAGTAACTCACACTTTAAGGCACATAAAGTCATGTCCCTCAGGGCAAACTCTCCAGTGTCATGGAGTTTATGACTCATGAGTGCTGTACTTTTGTGATCCAATAAACAAGGAAAGGTGGCGGGAGAATTATATTCCTGTACAAAGAGCCACTTCACCTTTCATCATATGGAAGAAAGTCATAGGGATAATAAATTTTTAGTGCCGTTTTCAAGTTGAGCAATATCCGTGACCGAAATGCATGCAGCGAGGTGTTACAATACTTATGAACGAAATAAAATAAAGGGAAGATAGCTGTTTCAATTTGGAGCTAAGTTAGCTGGCCATGTTTTTGAAGAGTAACTTTCTTGGTTCCACCCCAGGATTCTGGTTCAGATACCCTGTTTTGTGTTCTCATGGCACATACCTCTCCCACTGGATTTATCTCGTACTACACTGATCGGGGCCTTAGTGTTAAAACATAGACTTTATGAGGCACCTGGAAGGCTCATTTGGTTAAGCCTTCGGCTCAGGTCATGATCCCAGGGTCCAGGGATCGAGTCCCACATTGGGTTCCCTGCTCAGCGGGGAGCTTGTTTCTCCCTCTCCCTCTGCTGCTCGCCCTGCTTGTACTCTCGCTCCCTGTCAAATAAATAAGTAAAATCTTTAAAAAAAAAAAAAATAGACATTATATTTTAGAGCAATTTTAAGTTCACAACAAAACTGAGGAAGTGGCACAGGAATTTCTTATATATCCCCTGTCCCCCCCCCCCGCCCCCGCCCAGCCTCCCCCATCATCAGCACCCCCACCACAGCGGTACATATGTTCCACTTGGTGAGTTGACCCTGACTTCATAATCACCCAGAGTCCATAGTTTACATTAGGGTTAGCTCTTGGGTGTTGTACAAGCTACGGGTTTGGACAAATGTATAATGACCACATTCGTTATCGTAGTATCATACAGAATACTTTCATGGCACTAAAAATCCTCTGTGCTCCTGCTGTTCATCCCTCCCTCCCACCTCCTAACTCCTGGTGGGCACTAATCATTTTACGGTCTCCATGGTTTTGCCTTTTCCAGAATGTCATAGAGTTGGAATCGTATGGTATGGAGCCTCTTCAGATTGGCCTCTTTCCCTTGGTCATGTGCATCTAAGGTTCCTCCGTGTCTCCTCATAGCTTGGTAGTTCGTTTCTTTTGGGCACTGGATAATCCACTGTCTGGATGGACCAGCTTTTATCTGTTTTCGGTGCTTTATTTTTTTTAACCGATGTATCTCAGGGCTGGGACTAAGGTGCTGTGAATGAGGCACTCAGGAATCAAATAATATTTTAATGCGGTATATAAAAAATCAGAACTAATGCCCCCAAACCCACAATGAATAAAATATCAACAGTTTAAGTAAAGACAGGATCGTGGCAAGCCCTCTCTGATTGCTACGGACAATCCTAAGCTACATTCTCCCTATCCATAGCCCAAACTGTGGATGCTGTTTTCTTGCTCAGAAACCTGGTTCTCCCCCACAAGCACTGCTTCCCCTGGAGCCTCTGCTTCTAGAAGTTCTTTCCTCATAGACCTGCTAGCATTGTGCCAGGAGGTGGGGGTCGCCTCCTTCCTCCTTATCTTCACTTCCCAACCAGTCTTCCCCTCTCCTCCCTAAAACGTCCCCGGCCCCAACTGTGAGGTACGTGCTCGTGAACTAGGGCACTTGCTCTTCTGTCTGTTGGTGTTGGGAGTCTGGACACCACTCTCCACCTCAGCGGCATTCCCCCTCAGTCTTTGAAGGGCTTAGCTCTTGGCTTTCTGTCACCCAAACCATGCCAACCTCGAAGATCCTTCCAAGATGCCAGTTTCCCAGTTCCTTGATGATTCCTTCCGCCAGTGATCTTGCTGCCATCCTTATTCTTCATCAGCCATTCCCTCCCCTGGCTGTATTCTACTCCTTGAAATTGCCAATGATGTAACTTCTCCGAAATCTTGCATTTCCACTCTCCAACACTCCCACGTTTTAAGCACCTCTTATAGCCGTCTCACTTTCTTCGGTGCCTTTATGCCAAAATTCTGTAGCCCACACCAGGACTCGTTGATACTACAGCCTTGAACCGTGTATCCCACCTTCATATTCCAACTTAAGGTTTTAGGGTCCATCACTGTAACCATTCCCTTGCTTTTACAGCCTCTGTTCCCTTAGGCTTGTCTCTCTTTATTGTCTTTATTTAGCACAACAGCAACCATAGCAAAGTGTAAGATTTATGCAAGGGAAAGCCTAGTTTAGAAATACATTTTTAGGTTTATTTTTTTTCTTTTGCATCCCTACTCATTAGTATTAATAGAAGTGATTTGGTATTGGACAAATATATTTTTTATGTTGATCAAGTTTCACATTTCATTCTGAGTAACTGTGAGTTACTGAGATCAGTAATCAAAGCAAAGAGCTGTAGTTAGTTGTCAAGGGTAGAGGTTCATGAAAGCAGTTCTTTATCTAAATGACACCCATGGTAACTGTTTGACAGATTATTCTTTTTTTTTTTAAACACTTTATTATTTATTTATTTATTAGAGAGAGAGAGAGAACAAGCAGGAGCAGCTGCAGAGGCAGAGGGAGAAGCAGGCTCCCCGCAGAGCAGGGAGCCCGATGCGGGGCTCGATCCCAGGACCTTGGGATCATGACCTGAGCCAAGGGCAGACACTTAACCAACTGAGCCACCCAGACGCCCCAGCAAATGATTCTTATAGAAATTACTTTGAATAAAGAGAAGATTTTTATATAGAAAGCTGCTGTGTGTCATATCCTATATGTAAAATGTTTGCTTAGTTAATAAAATAGGGGTGGGTTAAATTTAAGTAATCGTAATATTCCCAGGGGTATCTAGTATAACATTTATTTAGGACATTACAGAATATCATCCTCACACCAGTTTATTTTGCATTAAGATGACCCTGTACTTATAAGAGGGTCCCCTCCCCGTTTCTATTTTATCTCCCCTGGAAAAATAAAATGGTATTTTAAGCCTGAGCGGGTACAATAAAATAAACGCCACATCGCTTAACATTTCGAATGGAATGATTAGGTTTTTGTCGCCTGCATCGTTTTCTTTACCCAGAATTTCTTAAGCTCGATCAGAGGTAGAGTAGCACGAAGGCTGGGAGATAGCAGTGCCTTAGGATAACAGCAGTGGTTGATGAGGTGCGTGCGCATGCCGGCCCTCTAGTAACAATTTCCCTTTTCGTGTGCTCTCGCAGGTCTACCCTGAACTGCAGATCACCAATGTGGTGGAAGCCAACCAACCAGTGACCATCCAGAACTGGTGCAAGAGGGGCCGCAAGCAGTGCAAGACCCACGCCCACATTGTGATCCCCTACCGCTGCTTAGGTGAGCTGGTCGCTGCGTAGCGGACACGCGTAGCTCTGCTCTTTGGGGTTGAAAAAGGATGCGCTCATTAGATCAGATACGCAGTTTCATTCTGCCACTCTGTATGGGACTGTATTTTGCGCTCTTAAGGTATCCTGTCTTCTGACAGCGCAGGGAGCAATATTTTTTAGCTTCCTGCCTCAGAATGAATTTGCCTAAAATGTTTATTAAAACTACAGATTCTTAGACCGATTCCGTAACTGCTGAATGAAAAGGCTTGGGGACGGGGTTTAGGAATCCTCATTTTACCAAATCCCATAGGTGATTCTCATGCACACTAACTGTCTAGACTTGGAGAACTAGGGCCTTGTGTGTTTTCTCACATAGACTTCATACAAGAGAGAACCGAATGTGAAGCTCTTCCATTCTGCTAATTTCTTCAAAATCTGTTTCCTGAAACAGCCAATTACTCCTCCTGGCAATAGCTGGGACACTAGAGTTGGGGAATTCTTTTATCTGCTTATATCAAACTGGAGGAACCAGCTAGATCACTCAGGTTTAAATGTGTGTTTCTCTCACCAACCTCAAATTTTACTTCCACTTTTGATGTGAAAAACTGCGCTGTTCAGTGTGATGTCATACTTTTTCCTCTGGAAACACTGTCATACTCCATATTTAATCTGACTTTGTAACTAATCTCTTCGTAGTTGATATTTTTATATAACCAGGCAGTGTGGAAATCAGCATTTGGTCTGATAGCTTGCATGGTTGTAAGGACATAGAGATCTCTACAGGGGGCTGTGGACAAATATTGATATACGTTCCAGTGACTTCTTCTAAAAACTAAAAGGGATCTTTTTTAAAAAAAAAGTCCCAACAGCAAACTTAGGATAACTGTTGAATATTCTGGAGATCTGTATAATACTTGCTTAAACCTGAATGTTGTAACAGCATACGTACTGATTACTGTTCATGCATGTGCATAATTTGAGACATTAATAGAAAACATTGGCCATTAGAATGAAGTTTTCATCTGGTTTTACTACTCACAATGGAATTGATGAAGAGAATGTGGAAAACCAGATTCTTAAACATTTGATAATTCAAGAGTTCCCTTGTTCCTCCTCCTTCTTTATTCTTAAATACTTTACAAGGCTTCTAACTCTTTTCTAACTGATTAAAAACTGAAGATTTAATAAGATGAAGATAAGTAATGCTTAAATATAGAGGTCAGCTGTCTCCAGGAACTGTGTATTTCAAACCAATTTAGTTATTATGCCAAGAGACCATTTAATTCAGTGTAAGTTAGGAAGTAGATCAGGAACCAGTTAATCAGGTGTGTCAGGTCTTATTAATGATCTGTTTCTTTTGGTTCTCACCCATTCTGTGAACTGTTTCAGATACATTTTGTTTAGGATATAAGCTCACTGGGAACCAGGTAGTAGGTCTCTGGATGAGCATTATTGCTGATGACACCTGATAGGTTACTCACAACTACACCTGTTTCAAAAGTGAACATTATCATTTTGCTTAACATCTTCCTGCTTCATAACTATTCAGAAGTGTCAGAATTGGCTAAATAGTGGAAACCACATTATGGATATAGTTTACCACGATGGTGCACTTAGTTGTGGCAAATTTCCTGTGACCCTAAATTGATTGTCTCCTCCTTCCCAGCTGCTCTCCTTGCCCTACTCTATGCCCCATCCCATGGCAAGAGTGAATTGAAACTCCAGGGGAAAAAAATACTGTCAAAAGGAAGAAAAGATGTATGAAATGCCTTCAGATGTAAATATGAAGTCAAAAGATTTTATGATAATGCTGTGATTAACTGTCAAAATGTTTTTATTGTGATAAAGCGTGTTCTGCACCATGGAGGAAGGTTCCTCCTAAGTGGTCTCACTTCACAGGCACAAATATCGAGAGTCCGTGAAGGAGGGTGTCTTGCTGTACGTGGCACCAGGTATTTGTGACAGAATTAGGACCAAAGTCCAGGACCTTTCAATACACGATCCAGTGTTACGGTCGTAACAGAAATTGTTCTGGAGCTAATAACCAGCTGGTTTACCAAATCAGGTCATAAGGGAAAGAAAGGCTGTGAATGGGAGGCAATCAATAACAGTTCTTTTTAAAAGTCCCAACCCACGTTGTATTCATAAAGGAGATAGTTGTGACTCTGGCACATGATAATGTTTTCCACTTGATGATAGTAATAAGCAACATTCTTATATATACTTGCTGCTTGAAGAAGAATTAGTGTTTAGCATTAGTGTAAGTAGCCTCCAAACTCTATGGCTATATCCAAACTTATCCTTTAGACAAAAGACATGATTTTACTGAAGGTAGTTCTCAGAAAGGAGCTACCTAGAAAGCAGAGTACAAATGTCTTAAACATTAAGCATATTAAAACCCAAAATAGAGCTTGAGGAGAGAAAAATGCCTGTTAATGCCTAGCATGCGCTCTTCCTGACCTTTCTGTCAGATGCAGGATTGGTGTTATACTGTGTTATTTTTCTTCAGATCGTGTATTTGTCTTGGGCATACTTGCTCGGCAGTATCTTGCGTTCCTTGTCTAGATGGAGAAAGTGTATGAGGTTGCTGTTGACACTTTCCTTCCATGCAGTGAGTGATTTCCCTTGAGAGTGAGTTGGCTTTCTCTTTTCACCCTTTGCATTTGATTGTGCTTCTAGAACCAGATTGTAAGATTGCTCTTCATCACATGAATGTTTCATTAATTATCTCATGTGGAGTTAAGCACATCATTATCATTACTCAAGGAGAATATTTTCTTTGCAAAGCCTTCCACCCCTTTCCACTAGAATGACTACTCTTCCTGGTGTAATAGACTCACCACTGAAACTAACACTGGTCTACACTTGGTTCTGTCCAATATAGGCAGGGTGCATTGCATAAGACAAATTACTCTTGATTTCTGGGGGCAAAAGTGGGCTAATAGCTTAACCCAAAAGTATTAGAAATTAAAGAATTGCTACCTTAGAGGTCATTCTGTTTCATTTTATATTCAAGGCTTTCCAAACATATAGGTAGTAATGACCAGGAAACTATTCAGACGTGGTCATGTGAGAAACTGAAGGTATTTGATTCATCTCGATTTTGAATTTTACTCCTTCAGTAAAGTGTTAAGATAGTCATACCTTGTCTTTTGGTGGCTACTGTTGTGTGAATTATCTACAACTACCTTAATCTTCTTGGGTGTGAAAAGTTTGTATTTGGATATTCTGACAGATAATGTACCAGAGTCTCTTTTTTGGATTTATGCTGAAGCAGAACAATATCCAAGAATGTTACATGAGACTCCACCTAATTTTAAGAATGGGGCTGGGCATGGGAGAACGTTTTATCGTAGACGCTAGGATCTTGTAAATGCCCAGATGTCCCAGCACAGTAATCCAGTCAGTACCTGTGGCTCCTCCCCTGTTCATTGACCTCTGCAATCTGTCAGTGCAACTGCTTATGAAGTCCTGGGAGATGGTGTGCTGGGTTATATACATACATACTGTGGAAATGATGCTTGATGAGCCGTGCTTTTGCATACCAGAGGGACACGAATTCTTGAATGTCCTCTGTTTTTAAGGATTGTCTACATCATGCTATCATAAGGAATGGCCAGAATCCCTGGACCTTTCTCATCAGGGAAGGCTAATCACTGTTCCTGGAGAGAGATCAGACTCCTTCTCATGTGGTCTTTCGCGTGGGACCGATGAACGTTCCGAATCCGTCATACTTCCAAGCCAGTATATAGAGTCTGATTCTCAATAATATAAAAGAAAATATTCATGGAAAAGAAATTTTACCAGTGTTTATTTACAAATAGTGAGATTACAGGTGATTTTGACTTTATTTAAGTGTTTGTTAATTTCTATAATAAACAAGTCTCTTTTTTTTTTTAAGATTTTACTTATTCATTTGAGACACAGAGATACAGAGAGAGAGAGAGAGAGCATGAGCAAGGGGAGAGGCAGAGGGAGGACGGAGAGGAAGAAGCAGGCTCCCTGCTGAGCCAGGAGCCTGACGCGGGGCTGGATCCCAGGACCCTGGGATCATGACCTGAGCTGAAGGCAGACGCTTAAGCACGACTGAGCCACCCAGGCGCCCCAAACAAGAGACTTTTATCAAAAAAAAGATGGACAATGAAATCAGCGCATAAAATGTCATATCTGTCAACAGGTAGTGATAGTTGAAAAAGAAGTCAAAGGCTTGGAAGAGCACACAGAATAACCGTCGTTTTATCTACTGGTTGTTGTGCCTTGCAAGCTTTATGTGGTAGTGGTAACTCCTTACAGGAAAATTTTTTTAGTTTTAGAAGTACCATACTGCCAAATTAAAAGAAAATATCTCCATCCTTATCTTCAACCACATATAAGCAGCATTCATCATTACTAATTCTTCAGAAAGGGCTTTGATCTTGTTTTTTGTTGTTTTCCCTCCAAATTTGTATATGGGAGCTACCTACATTTCTTTCAGGGCAGATTGTTGAATGGGAAGAAATTACATTCTCCCTGTAGATGGCTTCTGAGTGAGGAAGGACATTTAGTTAAGTAGGAGAATGTACAGAAATGATTTCCTTCTGGGTAGGTCATCCGCCATCACCAGTGATTAAATCTCCCTCCCCTTTCTGCCGGCTCCCCATTGACACTAATTATATTGGCTCCAGACTGAGCTGAAAACATTGATTTTTTCTTTAATAAATCAAATTTTGAAAAGATTAGTGATCTTTGTTGTCTCCAACTCCAATTTAGTTTCATCTTCTTGTTTTAATTATGGTACCTGCTGTTCTGTCTTCTTTCTGGAACTTATAACAACTTGTGTTTTGTCTGGGGTAAGAGCTAGGATAGCATGAATGATTTACATAGTTAAATCTTTAATTTTGTCCTTTTTTTTTTTTTTTTTGCTGGAGATAATATTCAAGAGTCATTAAGTAACATTAGTTATTATAAGGAAAAACAATAATTTTTGAAAATCTCCTGCTCTACCCTGTGGGGTGCTCTGCTGTCACTGCT